AAAATATCAATGCGATTTAATCATCAATTCTATATATTGATGATAAATATAATTTTTACAATGCTTGTCATTTTGATTTCATAAATATAGAAAATAGCATTACAAACTTGACCATTTTACGCTCGACTCACACATCGCCGCCGTGCCTATCTGATATCACTCCTTAAATTTCACCCATACAGATGAGAATGCTATTGGGACATTTGTTGTTCAAATAATCGGAGGAAAAAATTTCCTCAATAATTAGTCTGATTTTTTGTTAATCGAATTTGGTATTTGTTTATTCTGTTCCATTTGTGTTCCGTATTAAAAAACAGACTATAATTTGGGTCCCGTGTTTTCTTAATTGTAATACAATTATTTGGGGAAGGAAGGGGAGAATATAATTTGTTTATGTGTAACGTGTCAATAACATTGATCATTGATATAATAATTAATGAATCTAAAACCATACAATAATAACTTCAATGTACTTTTCTATTATAAGGATAACTATTATTTACAATGACATCATTCATAAAGGTTTTTTTTTTTGTTTTTCGCAAATACTATATTAACTCAAAAATTTAATAATTATAATAACAATAAATTAAATATAATTTTTAATATCTTGTTTTTGCTGCCGAAATAATAAGAGGATAAATAGGAAGTGAGATTTTCCCGATAAGTAAGTAAGACTTAGTTTCAGTAATAAGTCTAGGGAACAAGAAAAACGCAAATCTGTACAATTGTCTTCTTTTATTCAAAAAAATCTATTAATTGGCATACGCATTTTTCCATCGCACCCTTTAATACTTGCGATGATTTTCTTTCTCATATATATCTTTTTCCTGTATATTATACTGGTATTATTTCCATACACTAAGCTAGCATTCCAGATAGACAATTTCAAATCATTCAATCGTCCTCGGTAATTCTTTCACAACTCATTTCTTTCAGATTTATTTGAAAACAAAAAAAATAATAATAATAACATCAACCAGCCTGCCATTTTAATGTATCAAACTGGCCTCTATATTTTTCTTATCTATTTTCGTCTTACGTTTTGTTTTATTTCGTTGAACAACGAATTACGAACAACTCAACCTCTTGAAATTTTGATAGGTGAGGGGATTCACTAGTCATTAGTGACAGTATTTGTTTATTGAATTGATTATAAACAAGGGGCCCTTTTCTTGTCCATCCGTGTGATGAATAATTAAGCATTTCAATGTTTATTCATGCACACGGTGCGATTAATTGAATTAATCACTTGGAATTTGGCTTTTTTCAAGAGGTTTTCAAAATATAAACTCATTACTGGGATACGACATCGACGTAGTTTGCTGGATAAAGACCTACTCTGCCGTCCTTTCTTCCTTTGCACCAGCCCTGCTCGTCCTCGTCCTCTAATTTTTCAAATACTTCACCTGAAAATATATTTTTTTCAAATTTAATTACGTCTCCTATAAAAACTAAGAAATCATTGCTATTCCATAAATGACAGTTGAACATTTCTATCACGATTGCAAAAAAAAAAAATGGAGTTCATTGGATTTTAGAGTTTGCTAATTAGTTCGCGTAGTTTTTAAAAAACTATTGAGCAGTATCAGAATAGCGGGAATTCCTGAAATATTCAAGGATTAAATAAAATTGATTACTGTATTACTTTGATAAGTTAATGGATAATTTGATTGAAATTTCATACCTTGTTTGAATGTTAATTCATCTGCCTCTGCACCTTCGTAATCGTATAACGCTCTAACAGGTACACCAGGTTCACCTGTGTCTACCAAGGCCTCACCTCCATCTTCGTCCCATTCTTCTTCGTCAAAAGGATTTGATTCTTGCTTGGCATTCGTTCCATTTCTAAAAAAAAATATGTACAGATCACAATTATTTGCATGAGAATATCGATATCATATCGTATTTCAAGAATTTTTTCCCGTCACGTATCAGTTGTCAATTAATTCTCAATTAGAACTATCTACTTTCTGATAAATTACACTCAAGGTTGACTCTGGACTAATTCTCAGTTCATAGATAAAACCCAGAGAATAAAAGAGTGTGATAGGACTTATGATAAATGTTTGAACTTTTGTTCACTATAAAAAATTACCGCAATGAGAGTCCGCAGTGGCATGTACTTGCGAAAAATTTCACAATATGTGTACGATGGGTACAATACAATATCTGTTAGATGCATACAAAAATTATTCTCATAATTTTGAGGACTTTGACAACGCCGTGTTCGAAATATGCACCGTTACTGTCGAAACTTCATGTTTTTTCAAAGTTTGAAATTGTGTATTTAAAAAATGACGCGTCAAAGTTCTTGATACTTTGGTACTATTTTTTCTTCGCGCCAGATGTTCAAATTTGGTGTCTTTACCATATTAAGAGATTATTCACAAGCATAAGTAGCTGAGGAAATATCTTAAACCCACTTCCCACCAGAATTATCAAGCTCTAATCACCGATCTAAGCTTATCAATTAGCAATTATCTCCTAAACTAAATAAGCTAGGCGATAATTTATCCGATGGCCCATTTTGAGCGTTGGAAATCGGGGTCATACGAAAAATGATCAAAGACATTTCGCCGTCACTTCGTCGAGGGGCTGTCAACTTCATTCAAGCATGAAGTCGAACGAATATCGAGAATCGACAGATAACTATATTGGCAGGTGTTATCAGTCCAACCTTGGCTAGCCTAGATAGCCTTCCTGTAACATTGTACGGAGTGACAAAGTCAGTAAAAATGGCCTATCCATTTAATGATCGTGATCGTTCAATCACGACTCTACTACCAGACTCATATTTGGTAATCCCAACTCATTTATTTCTTATTAACATTAGAAAAATATTTTGATTGTTTTAAATCTAATTCAACAACACCAACTATTTTTGGTCGCAAACAATTAGTTTTACCACATTTTAATAAATTTTTCGCAGTGTATTGTTTACTGATTGACTAATGAGATGTCGGTCACTAATTCAGTCATAACTCGTTAACGATCTTGTACTTATTTATTTATTAACTCAAAGAAACGAGGATCGGCGATCTACTTGAAATCGTCACTCGTTTAATTTCAATAGACAAGAAACCGCGTCTTGAGGATTTTCTCATTGAGCAGGCCCGAAATTCAAATGACCCCGAGGTCGCCCGAAACATTTCGATTAACTGTTTCTCGATTGAATTAAAATTCCTCTAGATTTTTCTTCCATTTGACGCACCTATTACAATGGTAACATGACCCTGTTCTCGTTGACTAATTACGCACGAGTAATTCACCCATAATTCGCTGATTACATCCCACTCGTACGTTTATTTCATACTTATCATAAATAGTGCAGCTGGTCTACATTTTTCAGTTCCCATATTTAGCCGAGAGTATTCCTTTCTCTCCCAGAAAATTTATGAAAAAAGCTAGAAAATCTAATTACGTTAATTCGACTTGAATTATGGGCGATTTGTTCTTGGATTTTTAAATGTTTATAGAAGTTGCAGGCTAAAAGTTCCAATTCCTAATACTGGATACTTTCCCTCATACACTGAGAGAAATTATTCAATAAAAATTACGTGCATTTTCCGTAATTCTGGAGCGAAATGTCGTTGTCGGAAATTTTACGGAACTGTCACGTAATTTTTATCTGAATTATCGATGAAAAATAACAATACCGTCACTTAAATTTTTCGAATCAACTCCGTAATCGGTAAGTGAACTGAAAGTTCCGTAATTTTTACTAAATACGCTCCCTAATACGCTCTTATCCAAGTTTAGTCTACATCTAACTCCGACTTTCACACACCATAACATGAATTACGTCAATGATTAATTATTAAAAAGTTGCTAATTAACGATTTTTTAGGGATTTTTCTAGCTTTCACGAGGGATTTGTCAACCGATAGTGGCCAAATTTTCTTTCTATAAAGTTAAAACCTGTAATTCACTTGAACATAAAGAATATCTCAAAATAATTCCTCGAATTATCGTAAATTCACCATTACTTACGTAATCATAGAAGATCTGTTGACGGAGTTACCATCATGATTATTTTTCTCTACGCTCTGCTTCAATGATCCTAATGTATCCGTTTTACCTTCCCCATTGTTCTCTGGTATTGCTCTAGCACTTGGTGGCTTAGCTTTTGTTTTATTATTAACTGGTGGGAAATCCTAAATTCAAAAAATCATAAATTTAAAAACCGTACATAGAAAAAAAAATGTTATTTTATCAATGCGTTTATAGTACTTGAAATTGATGTTTTAACAGGAATTGTAGCTACTTAATTCTTTTTTTGCTATTTGAACGCATCCATGCCTCAAAAGTTGAAAATGTCAAATTAAAGAATATGTTTAAAAAAATAAAATAAAAAATATTACATGCAGGTCTTCCCCAACTGGGCGTTGATTGATGAGGGTAATGGAGCCAGCTGGTAGGGCCTCTTTCGATTTTGATCCTTTGGTGATCTCACGGAATTCCTCGGTATAATCCTGTGTAATATAGCAATGACCAAAAACAATGACATGCAAGGGCATTCCAAAACTTTTTTTTATTTATATCAATGTATTTTTTAAGTACTATGACGATATCCTCAAAATTCGATCTCTAAAGAGATTTTATTGCTGACATAGTGAAGCTCTTTCAAATGCGGTTTAAAATATTCAATCAGAAATAATAATTTGTGGTCAAGTGATTAAACTAAAGCCGATCGTTATTGCGGGGTTGTTTAGATAACAATTCCCTTGTTTTACAAAAAAATACCGAAAGATTCGTCTCAGAGTTGAAGAAGTCCTTATAGAAAAAAGTTCTTGATTATTTACTCCTAAATCACTGATTATTGTGCTCATGTAATTATTTTAATGGCACAGACCGTTTTGTCGACGCGATTATCATCTGGAATATACGACTGGAATATACCATGTAACGGTTTTGCAATAATCAAATATGGTAAATAGAAAATTGTAAACAAGTATCAAAGGAAAATGACAGATACAAAAAAAAAATTAATTTCATGTGACTCGAGGTGATAAACTATTAAATAAAGTGTGTAATTAATTTTCTATGCAAGTCTCTCGGAGACTACCCCTATGCTCAAAATTTCAAGCGAAAGTCCCGAGAGTCAACTTTAAATCCTTATACTTTAATTAATTCACGATGAATATTTTTAAAAACTATTCTTTTCTATCGACTAATTCTCTCAATCGACCAATAAGCAGCTGATGACCTCCCATGAGACACTATATATTAAAAAAGAAAATTCAATCAGCTAACCCATGCTATTAATATTTCTATTAATATTGATGTATAACTACTCGTTCAGTTATGGAACAACGACACTTGAACTATTAAAAATGAATGATAAAAAATCTCATTATTATATCATAAATCGAGGAATTCAATCATGCTACAAAGAAAACAAATTCATAATAATGATTACCTCGAATTGTGGCCAGTTCATGGCCATATTGACCCCGTGATTATTCGACCACCACTTGAGGTCCTTTTCAAAATCGGCATTATTAATGGTATGATAAAATTCCTCATAAATTTGTGGAAGACTGAAATAGAAACAAGTGTCAGGCATGTTACATATGCATTTCACCATTTCAAGATGTATTTGGTGTTTATAATTACACTGGATCCTGTGATATGTTGAGACATTTATGAATACCAAATAGGACTTCCTTGAAGAATTGCAGTCGTTGTGCTTCCATCTCTTGACATTTTTCAAACACCTGAGTCATGTCTTCCATGTACTTTGGATTGTACTGATTTATTTCTTGAAGTGATGCCTCATATTTCTCCTTTGCCTTCTGCACCTCTTCTTTAGTCTTCTGTACTCGGTCCTGCATTTTTTTCACCTGTGGACGGATTTTAATCGTTAATTAATGCGTCATTAATTTATAGGGAGAAAGGTTTTCATTCAAATGAGATTCCAACTATTCGAAATGATTATAATACAATGAGGTAAATTTTATTGGGGAATTAATACCGGCATTCTTGACGGTTGTGGGAAACAATATATTATAAAAGACATTTGGAGAGAATTATAACGATTTTTCTGCTATGTAAGATTTTTTTGTAACAGAATAAACATCGGTGAGGATCTACAATGAGACTAAAATCATGTAATTAATAATTATTAAATAATTATTAAAAACTAGAACCCGAAACATTGAATATTTCTTTATCATCTTCCTGATCTGTTTAATTAATAAAGAAACAGTCGATGTCATTCAACTTCCTCTGAACGAATAAATAAATATTTTATCCATAATTTACTACAGTTGTATTTCAACATTGAACTTTTGTTATTATTTCTTTTTTTTTACTGGCTTACCAATTGTACTCTCTTGGAAGAAAACCAATGAAAGAAAAAGGAGGAAAAGACAGAAAAGAACATTAATAATCATGCGACATGCAGACAATTATTATACATACAAACTTAATGTCACCAATCTTAGTATTCCTAAGTAACTTTAGTAATCGGTTGGTCCATGCACGACATCCACTTATTGGCATCTAAAAAGGCCGAATTTCACATGCCTGTTTAGGCTGAATTCAATCCGCAAAAATTTTCATGAAATCCGCGGAAAAGTGAAATGTGAGAGATGTTTTTCGTGGGATATAATTCTCCTTGTGACTTTTCAAAAAGTGAACGCTTGCGCCTTGATAACTCTGAAAGATCATTAGACCTTCTCGTTGTCATTCCCTTTAATATCTTATTATTATTATTTAATATATGATATGAAATATCTTTATACGCTCAGAAAAAATCTCTGAAGCTGTCACACATTTTGAATCATTTTTAATTACTGGAAATATTTATTGAGGGAGTGATAACGTGTGGGGAAAATTAAGTTATCCGAGCCAAGAAAATACGAATGTGCACTATTCGAAAAGTTAGTGAGAATTCTCTCCATTCTCTCCATTTTCCCGCTAGTGTATTGTTTTTTTTAAATAGTTAATTAATTTTGTCCTACGCAACCTGGTGTCTGATTTTTGTCATTTTGTCGATCTTTAACGCCAATAAATGAACTAGTTTATGAGCAGCGATGTCTTCCGCAGAATCTTAGAATTACATTTCAACTTCAATTCATAAATTAATAATTACAGAAAAGTACAATTCCACTTAACGCAAAATCAATGCATAAAAAGGGATAAACTTTGAGAAATTAATTGATCGTTTCGTGAGATTTGATGTTCAAAACTTCAGTTAATTTTTTTCTGAACAAGCGGTTTGTAGAATTCATTTCTGATCCTGATCATCATTTTCACCTTGTAGAGAGATTATTTTTTTTAAAGAAGGGTATTTTCTGTTTTTGGACAGAAATTTTTTTCTCGTTGTTATAAATATTAAATACAAACGAATTTTTATATGAATAATTTTCCTCTTTCCC